TTGTCTTGAAAACAGGCCCAAAATGGCCTGTGCTAAAACCCTGGTCTGGTGCCTAAGTTTTCAGGCTGAAAAGACTCCCTGGAGGGCCCTGGTTTAGGCTGAAACGACACAGGGTCTGTAGGCCCTTGTTTTCAGGCATTCAGGCTGAAACGACACAGGGCCTGTAGGCCTTTGTTTTCAGGCATTCAGGCTGAAATGACACAGGGCCTGTAGGCCTTTGTTTTCAGGCTTTTAGGCTGAAAACGACACAGGGCCTGTAGGCCCTTGTTTTCAGGCTTTTAGGCTGAAAACAACGCACCATGTTGCAGGCGCAGCATGTAACAGCAATGAGGGCAGGGATACTGGAGGAGGAGAGAGGATTGAGGGGCAAGGAGGAGGAATGAGGGGGTGAGGAAGACGAGGGAGGACAACAGAGGATGGAGGAAGGAGAAGAAAAGAGGAGCACAATGACGATGGAGGAGGAGGACCTGGGAGACAGATATGGACTGCATCAGTGCGATGGATGGGACGGACCTGGGAGGCGGACATGGAATGCGCGAGCAGGATACACAACGACACGAGCAGGCAGAACAACCATGATGGTGATGATCGAGGGACAAAGACAGACAGTGGAGAAGGAGCGAGGAGGTTAGAGGATGACTATGACGGGTAGAAGACACGATGAAGAACGATTGAGGCATATGAAGAAACCTGTGGAACCTACCTCAGCCACACCGAAACATGGTGAAGGCAGGCCACACAAGGAGAGCCCTGAGGACGACTGTTGGACCGGACGGGGAAGGCAGTGGCATCATCTCAATCGGAGAGGAGGTCCATAGGAAAGAACGCAAAAAGGGAGTAGCTCAGAATGATGATCGGAACTCAGACAGTACGAGGATGGGTAGCAATGCAACTGATTCTGAGTGATGACATGGGTGTCAGTGTCCTACGCGTCTGTTTTTGTGCAGTATGTGTGTCTCCGGTTGTGTACTATGCATGGCTGTCTTTTCCAGAATTAGAGTCAGTAAGTGCTTGTGTCTTGTGAGCCATGCCTGTATGTCTGTTTTTTGTGGAGGGTCAATGTGTCTGCGGTAGTGTCTGCTTTTGCAGCGTCTGCGTACGCGATTGACCACCTTGGCAGGCCTGGTCTAATTCAGACCAGCTGTGCAACTTTTATTCTTCTTCCAGTGCTATCTTTCACAAGTCTGCCTGTGTTTCATCAATTTTCATTAGCATTCATCAGCTTTTATGTGCGAAGACAACCGTTTCGATTGTGTACAACAGATTCCCCAGCCCCCTCGACCAGCCCCAACCCAAGCCACAATCAGGTGAAAAAAAAATGAATACGGTCCTTCACGGTGGCAGAGGAGGCGGTGGAAAGGATGGTTAGGGGGAGGGGGAACAGGTGGGAGGTTCATTGACGGGGAGTGGAGGGATGACTCTGGGCCCGTTCTGCAGAGAGCAAGAAGTTGATGGACCTCAACAGTCCTCCTTTAACATCTGTACCATCGCAGCGGCTGTGGGGGGGGGGGCATTGGGGGGGGGAGGTGCAGGTTGGAAGTGGGGAGAGAGAGGAGGGGAACTCGGTAGATGGACGTCACCGTTGGCAGGGTTTTTGAGGATATGAAATCCCTTTGTTAGAGTTGCATTCACTTGGTTACAATCCTGATCGGATTTGTCAGAGGAATGACATCATTCTTATTTGTTGTCTTCGTGGTACTTGGCCCTTCAAGGAGGCTAATGGAGGCAGGCCAAGCCAAACAAACACTAGAAAACAAGTGGTTGGCCCCAGCGGATGGATCATTCTGCCAGTGGTCTGCCCCAGTGCATGGATCCTTCTGCCTTGCACATTCTAGCGGCCAGACTGCTGCTGGGCAAGGTGAGAAGTGAGGAGAGGCTGGCGTCAAAGAGAGGAGGAGAGAGTCTGCCAGGAAAGTAGTGCAGTGGAGCTAGCAATAGCTGGTATCTGCAGAAGAACTTCATCAGTGACTTTCAGGGAAAGATGCTCATTGCAGAGGTGGCGAGTTAGTGACTTTCAGGGAAAGATGCTCATTGCAGAGGTGGCGAGTTGGTGGAGAGGATCCCAGAGGTGAAGAGGGAAGGAAGACCCCATACATTTGTTTTATTGATAATTAATACAACTATTCTTTCTGTGTCTCCATTTCTTCTCTCCCTTTGTCTAATTTCTGGTGATTTTATTGATAATTAATACAACTATTCTTTCTGTGTCTCCATTTCTTCTCTCCCTTTGTCTAATTTCTGGTGACTCACTGCTCATGTTGGGACTAATTCTGGACTGGTTTCCTACTGTGAGTGATCCCATTTGAGTGCATTGGTGATACTTGCCTGTTCCGTTGGTGGAGGCTTCTCATACTGAACAGGCTCATTACAATTTATTTATTTATTTAAAATTTGTAATTAAAATCATCCCAACAGGCATGTACCATGAAAGACGCTGGGCCTGGTTTCCAGCAGGTGCAGCTGCCGACCGATAGATTGGGGACCGTTTTGTTTTGTTTTTCTTTTCATTTAGATCACCAGTGCCTCACAGGGTATTTCCACTGAAGCACCTAAATACATGGATAGCGGCCTGCTGCCTGCAGCAGTTCCGATACACAATCCATGGGAACACTGATTTTATTTTTTTCCAGGAGAAAACCCACCATGGTGGACATGTATGTGTAGTTGACTGTACGTAACACAAAGTGACAAAACACATTGAGCATCAAAAACTGTCAGCCGGAAGCACGCATTCGGACACCATAGCCAAAGAGCTCAAACCAATAGCATCTAGTTACTTGTATGTATGAAAAGCGTGTAAAACATAATGGAATGCGAAAGCAATCCCTGGCAGGCTCCCCATGCCTGCGTTCTATTGATGAACAAGTGAGACCAAGGTTTTCGCATGTATCACATTCGCCTTGGTTGCTGACCGTAGTTCGCATGTATCACATTCGCCTTTTCCTGTACAGTTGCTCCTCGATAGTTTTCCTTACAAAACCTTTCCCACAATTCCTCACGGCTATCGAACGCAGTCAGAAAAGAGCAGAGAATAAGGACCAGAAGGGACCAGAAGGGACCTGAAGGGACCTGAATACTTCAGACCAGAGTCGGAAAGATGCAGTTTGCGAACTGATAGGATAGAACAGCAAAAGAGGGACAGGTTGCTACCTTCTTAACCCGAAAAAAACGTACGTACCTTGTAGATGAATACAATGTATGTGGTACGTTGTATTCGAATGCAATGTATGTACGTTATAGAACGAGTTTTAGAGTACATGAAACGGTATTCACCAGTTCGCAGTGGCTGATGCAGATCCCAGGGCCCGATCCCTAGTTCCCCACCTTACCTGTGTACAGTAACTGAGTTAACCCGTAGATTTGAACCTGCGACCTGTAGGACCGCCAGTGGTAGATAGGGTCTCGTAGGTTACAGGGTATAGGGGATTCGAACTGTGGACCTGTTGGGTAGGAATCTAGACAGTCCAGAGCTCGTAGCTGTAGACTGTCTGAAGGGTCAAAGTCGTAGCTGCTACTTACCTGAAAGGGCAGAGTCGTAGCTGCTACAGTACCGAAAGGCCATGTAGAGAGTTTAGAAGTAGTGGCCTTTCGGAAGTCAGCCCACTATAGGTCTAGGCAAATGGGCAAGTGGTGGAAGTCCACCACGCAGAGTCAGCAGTCCCAGTCCAGCCAGTCCGGTCCAGTCAAGCAAGTACCGTCTGGGACTGTGCACACCGTGGGCCAGGGAAGCAGGGCAGACCAACGACTCACAGAAGTATAAATCAAGAGGCTGCGCACAGCCATTCATTCATTCCTGCGGAAGCCATGCGGAACCGCTGCCTCAGCGTCTTGTGCGAGGAGGTCTGCAGTGTCCCCGAAGTCGAAGCGGGCAGAGAAGTGTAGTATAGCGATAGGGTAGTGGCAGCTAGCGCTGCCATAGCTATAGTAGTGTGTGTGTGTGTGTTGCGTGCGTGTGCAGAGTGTCGTGTGTGGGATATCCAGGGTGATCCAGGGTGTGAACAGTGAGATGTTGGGCGCTCAGTCGCCATAGCCAGTGGAAGTGAACTTACCTGGGAGCCATATCTCTGGGTACTGTGTGAGGGCATGTTGCCAGTTTGTTGTGCTGCTGTTCACGTGCATGAAAAGTGTGAAAGAGTCGAGTCTGATTGCAGTACAACTTTTCAGAAGCCTGTAGTACCGCCATTGTTTTTATTTTTATCTCAAATTTGGTTGGTAATTTCGCAAAGACCCTCAGGCAAAAGTTGTTTGCATTGCAATGTTGTACAACATACTATTTTTTTTCGGATTTTTTACTGAAGTTTTGTTTTTTTTAAATCGAAATTCTGAGAAAATCAGTAAAAATACTAAAAAACATTTTCATCCTTGTTTTTATTTTTTTCTCGGATTTTCTCGTGAATTTGGAGAAGACCCTCAGGCAAACGTTGTTTGTATTGCATTGTTGTATAACATTCTATTTTTTTCGGATTTTTTTTATTACTTTTGAAAAATCGAAGTCCCAAAAATTCGAATACAACATACGTACGTTATATTCGAATACAACGTACGTACGTTATATTCGAACGTACGTTCTATTCGGGGAAAAACAAGCGATTTCTGAAAACCTGATTTCCAAAGGTAATTCAAATAGAACGTATGTACGTTTTTTTGGGGTTAAGAAGGTAGTGATCCAGGTTCCCAGGTTCGAGCCTACGGAATAGTACGGATGAGTCGAAAAAGATACAAGAACATGCGTTTTCCATTAAGAAAAAGAAGAAGGACAGGATGAACTGACGGTTAAGTAAGAGAATGAACTCGTGGTCAAGGAAGAGGAGAAGGCACAGCAGAGGTGTGATCAGGTGCGCTACACAGCCCATACCGCTGAACAGTAGCCGTTGAGCAACAGAGACATGTAACTTTTAGCAAACAGCGCATGATATGAAGTCTGGATAGAATCAGCTGAATTCCCCTTATTATGAAACAAAAATAAAAAAGGTGCCATGAGGTATTTATGCCAAACATACATGGATAGCAATGCCTGTTACTCGAGTCTCTTGCACTCCTTCAATATACTCCACATACGATGGCCCGCTGCCTGGACTGAGAGAAATTAATCAGAATCAGGGAAAGGAGTACCACAGTACAGAACCACTAACTTCAGAGTGTGAACCCCAAAACATAACAGTTCAAAAACAAAAATAGTAAAATCCCTTTTCAAAACCAGCAAATAAACTAGCAAAAAGAAGAAATGAAACCATACCCATGCGAGTCATACCACGCTGAAACCATAAAACAACATAAATGGTGTCATATCACGCTCATATTCATACTGCAGAAGACGAAAATGAAAACAGAAAGAGATGCTAAAGAGAAAAAAAAGGGAAAAACTGCCCATAAGGCTTAATCCCTAGATGTTTCACTGATTGGAATCAAGTCCCCCAAAAGCATCCTTTTGGCAATATACCCCTCAAAAACAAAGGTTTTCGCAATGGCCACAACAAAGTAGGGCCTGTGAGAGGACTTCTCGACAATTCCACGGAGTCCTACCACGGATATATGGACAATCTTAAACTTATCGACAATTCCACGGAGTCCTACCAGGGATATATGGACAATCTTAAAAGGCTTATTGGACAGGAGTCAAAACAGGTACAACTTCTGAGGCCTTTATCAATGAAAGAGTGCTTTTGGGGGATCGAAGACCAAATCCGTGAAATAGTAGGGGCTTACTGACAATTTCGTGAAAGAAACACGATAACAGAAGCAGCAAATTTTGCCAATCTACAACACTAGCCTTCCCAGGTAAACCTGTAATTGGAAAATACAGCCACGATTTGAGCCCACTGTTCCTAAACAATGTGATTGGTTGCTGACCATGAACATTATCAATCACCTACATGCCATTGGACACATAACACATAACAGGAAATGAGGAAACTCTTAACAACAGCTGTCCCAACCTCAACAAAGCAATACAGCAGTCCCAAGCACAGCGAATCAATACAGCAGTTCCAAGCTCAGCAAACTGATACAGCAATCGTTCCCAAGCAGAGGGCCAAGCACTAAAGCTATGGAGGGTGGTCATGGCACTGCTAATAAAAGTGGGGTGACTTGAGGCCTTTGCACTATCCTCACGCCGGTTGATTTACAGCAATCACAGCACATACATAAGGGACGTGCAGAATATGGCAGACTGCAATATGCCCTAAAAGCGAAAAGGACCTTTCCACTTCCAAAATGAGTTCTCCCCCGGGCCATTGCAATACAAGGAAGACTAACCCTACCAGTTCCAACAGCAAAAAGAACCAAGGACTGGTGGTGGATATGAGTGGCCCCTCTTCCAGGTCTCTCTCCTCCCGCCCCCAATCTCTCTCTCTCTCTCTCTCTCTCTCTCTCTCTCTCTCTCTCTCTCTCTCTCTCTCTCTCTCTCTCTCTCTCTCTCTCTCTCTCTCTCNTCTCTCTCTCTCTCTCTCTCTCTCTCTCTCTCTCTCTCTCTCTCTCTCTCTCTCTCTCTCTCTCTCTCTCTCTCTCTCTCTCTCTCCAGTTTCATTTCAACGCGAAACACAATGAGATGAGAACCTAAATTGTTGAGAAAATACAAACAAATCATTTCACTACACTGACTTAGGACCTCGAACCACCACTCGTTTCATACGAAACAGACTAAGAAAAAGAATATTCCTTAAGATACACTCGCCATTCACATATTTAGTTAGTTCAGTGGGGCTTTTCCACACACAAAGGGCACTGACATGAAATCTTGTGAGGTCACAAAGGAAGATTAGAAGCAGATACACAGATAGTGGAGAAGAGCGAAGAGAAGATAAGCTTGCAGACTCACTTCATCATCCTCAGTTTCTTCGTGATTGCTAAGCTCCGTATGTGACTGAGTGATGGCACTGTCGAGGCAGTCATCCATGGGAGGCCAAACAACGAACAGACTCCCATAATTACTGCAGCAAATGTACAGTTAAGGCACATCCAGGGCCCCACCAACATGGTCCAAATGGGTCACAGTGTCAAACATGGAAAGATCAATTTCATGTCACGCACACATGCACCAATGGAAAATGAGAAGTCACACACCATGGTCGAAATGAGCCACAATGTCACACATGCAAACATCAGACACAGATGCACAGTTCAGTCACACCGAGGGTGTCATCAGCATCATCAGCATCATAACCATGCTCTTCATTTCGACAATCAATAATAGTCACCATGCATCATACTGAGAGGCTCCATGCCTCCGCTGCCCTTTTGAGCCACTAGAAAGAAGCCCAGGCCGCACTAAGCGAAGGCGGGTCTGCGAAAATGTTGACGGCTCTAAATGAGCGCCGCCTGGGGTCTTTTGGGCCTGTCCTCGGGCCTCAACGCCTGTAACTAACCAGGAGGCCCAGTGTGTGTGTTAGCTACAGAGGCTGGGACTAGGACTCAGTCCCAGTAGGACGCATGCCCTGCTTACAAGGTCTGGATGCGGCCTCCACTACAGGACAAAAGGGAGGACAGCAGGGAGAGCACATTCAGGGAGCTCGCTCCAACGTGACAGCATCCAGAAGAGCAGCACCCAAGGAGCATAGCCGCTGTGGTGACTGTGAGTGAGCGCCAGCCATAGCTGTGGGCAGGAAGCTGAGTGGTCAGGAAGAAGGAAGGGCAGTGGGGACTGCTGGTTCTCACGTGGTGTCAGGGGAGGAAGAATGTGTGAGCAGAATCTTCGAGCAGCGTTTGGCAAGTGGCATGTGGACAGTGAGCAGGATGGTAGAGGCTAGCGTGTGTAGAGGTAGTAGGAAGTAGGGCAGTAGGGCAGTAGGGCAGTGAAGTCATCCCGCAGTAGGGCTATGACATTGTTGTTGCGATGATGATCGACTGGAGACAAGAGGTTGGGTTCTCTTTAGAAGGAGACTTCACTGCTCTATTCGCTCCTAGTTGGTGTTCATTTCCACTTTGGTATTCTGCATTGGCTCAATCATGCTTGTTCTAATTCTAGAAAATTGGTGTGGTCATTGCGTGGTTCGTTGCATCATCATCATCATCCGTCATCATCATTCTGCCGACATAGTTCATTATAGAAAATTGGTCCCCATCATCACGGTCATCATGTTCCAGCACGTACTGATGAAACTTTACAGACAGCAGAGTTTTTCTTTTTCACGTTCTTATATACTCTTTTAAAGTTTTTTCTTTTTTCTTTTTGTTCTTTTCTTTAACCTTTTAAATTTTTAATTTTCAAGCTTTTTTCTTTTCTGATTCTTACAGGGCAAATGCCGGATAACTGCCGATTGACAATTTCATGCCATCATGACCACATTTCATCACCACTGTTTTCTGCGAACTAGCGTGTATCGTAGTATCTACACTATCATTCTAGTATTATATTATACATTATTCCACAGTGGAGAAAACACAAAGGAGATGGAAGAATAAAATAGAGAAGAGCGAGGCCAACTCAAAGAAACGTTTAAAAAACTCTTCGATCAATATATCGCTATGCACTGCTTTTTTTTTTTCTTTTCTCAACTTGTTATGCATCCTTTGCAGTGAAAGTACCTATGGAAGTTGTCGATGTCTCAAAACGGTTTATCCACGAAGGAAACATTGACTGAAAAATTCTGTTTGGTGTACAGTGTACACCCTAATATGGTCTTCCAAGTTCCAACCATGTCCCTTAAACGTTGCCATCTTTTTTTTTTCTTTTTTTTTTGCTGAAAATAGTGGAGCTTAGAAGCTGGTCCAGCAACCCAGCTTATATGGGCAGTTGATACGAATGGTAACATTCATTTCCAAAACGAATATCGAAAAACACCATGAGCAGCTGGGTGTTGAGGTCGGAAATCGAAAGCCAAAATTTTCATTGGTTTGGTTTTAGCCCAACACACGAAGTGTCCTTAAACCACCAGTACTTGGGCCAGCTATCGGCCGTGACAAAAAAAATAGAGTAGAAACGTTTCTAGTCGGATGAATTTGGGCGCTCCTGTAGTGGCACGTGCGTTTCCTAAAATTGTGGCTTGTTAATGAGCACGACTTTAGGAAGCACTGGTGGTCTAACTCCCAAGTATGTGACGTGCTTGGTTTCACGGTTCAAGTCCGTCGATGTAGGCTGCTTCCCCTCTGGCGCTAGGTGCGAAGTGTGGTACGTACTGCGTACTGTGATTCATCTGACCCATCCAAAAATCCCGAGGTTCGAATGCACAGCCATTTCATTCAAGCGGACATTCTATATTTTTTGAACGGAATTGAAACCTAAACGTCACCATTTTAGCTCCTGAGGGTCCCTCTGGACTTAGCTGAAGTCAAGATACATCCAAGGGTGTCCGGCATTTTCAGACGGTGACATTCTTAGGCCCAAATAAGTAGGTTTTGATTTGGTTCAAAAATATATATATATAAAATGTCCCTTTCAACAAAATGGATTTTCAAGGTTCACCAGCTCCACTATAGCCTCTCTGGGTTAAATTGATCCATGTAATTGGTGATAAACACATCATGAGTTCAAGTCATGACGGAATCAGATCGGATGTATTCCACAATGTTAAGGATTAACACCTTCAGAAAAAACGGAAAACAAGAGATAGGCCAGCAACATTAGGGTACGTAGGGGCATAACCAAAACCATTTGCATTGCACTAGACATGCCCAAGGTTGGGCATACAACATAAACTCGAACACAAAGGACCAATCGGGGGGGGGAGGGTGGCAGAAAGGGCAGTGATGTTCATTCTGAACCCCATGGCTACCATGGACCCAGACACACTAGACACCAGACAGTCTGTGTATTGATTACGGACGTCGAGAGCTTATTCCGCCACAGGTGCCCTCCAAAACAATTGTGTACATACTACTATACTACAAAGTACATTCATTTTATTTTCAATTTTCAAATGATTTTTCTCTTGGACTTGGTCGCGGCTTTTCAAACCACCTCAGGCTAACGTTGTTTTCCCTTTCCTATGCTGCATAGCATTTGTTTTCCTCCCAGGGCCTGCATTTCGACAGTCCGGCGGGCGTACCAACTGAGCTACACCGGTTGGTTCCAACACTGGACTTATGGAATTTTGTTGCTTTGTCAATTGACAGTGCTATAGGAACCAGAATGTGTAGCTCAGGTTGTACACCCACCAGACTGTCGAAATGCAGACCCGAGTTCGAATCCAGATACAATCAGATGAGCAGAATAAATGATATTAAAATGATAAAACCACTTTGAATTACCTGGGGCCGGTCAGTTCAATGATGATATCTCAAGGCCATCACCCTTTTTAAAAGAAAAGAAGAACAAAAAAAACAAAGAAAGAAATTAGTTATTACTGTAGGAATCTTGAAAACTGGAACTCCTTTCTTCTTTTGAAATTAAAATTCATATCACCAATTTGATCCACAAAGCTCCAGATGTCCGTGGATTCTGGACCGGGGTCTGCACCACGTAACACCTGGATCAGACACAGGTCTACACATCTGAGTGACCATTTTTAAATGAAAAGAAGAGAAAAGAAAGAAATTACTGTAGGAACCTTGAGAACTCGAACCCTTTTCTTCTTTTTTTTTTTATAATTTTAAAATTATTGAACTCATATCACGAATTTGAACCACAAAGCTCCAGACACCCATGGATTCTGGACCGGGGTCTGCACCACGCAACATCTGGAGCAGACACAGGTCTACACCAGTGTTGTCACAAGGGGATCCCCGGGGCCCGAGCCGGGGTTGGGGTTTGACCCCCGGAACCACAGCCCGGGGATCCCCAACCCCCAACCCT